TGGTTGATGTACTGTAGGACTGCAGCTAATATTATTTTGATAATTTATTAATCTGTAAGTTGTTTATTTGATCAATTAGGACTAAATCAATACTTATTTCCTGTTTTATATATTAAAAAAATCTAATAATGTGCAAACTGGATGCTATGAAAACAAACATGGTGAATGTATCTAAGTAGGCTATGCTATACATTACATGAAAAAAAATGAAACATCATGATCTAAAACAAAACTGCTTGCCCAACGTTTTAAAGTCACTTAATTAAGAATGATAAAGAAAAACAAAAACACAGACTAAATGTTAACTGGTAACAAATTACATTCACTCAAAATAGTAATTATATATATACCCCATTACAATAGTCTATTTACAGTTACTGTTCCCCTTAAATATAATTAAGTTTCATGTAGCATTTTAAACCTACATTTTTAGTTAGAATTATTGCGCTACATTTCTATTGTGCTCTACTTGTTTGATGTGCATGTGTGTGTTCTTGCTCGATTAATGAAGTCTGTGAAGTTCAACAAAGACTTGCTGTCAGGAAGAACTTTTATGCAAAATGCAAATACTTGCAGGATTTTCTGAAATTTACATCTAAACATATAACTGCAAGTGTATGTAAGTTATACACTGAGAAAAAAAACCCATCTCCAAATGCATTATACAGCACACACATCTGCCAGAGCACCTGTCAGGGCCACGTTACACTATATGTTTATGTATTTGTTTGAAGTGCATAATATAAAGCATTCTCACATTATATTCAATTAAACTATATAGAAAGAATAATTTTGGCGTGTTGTTTAGAATTAACTTGCAGACGGTATATGATTCAAAAAATGAATTATAGAGGGTTATTGATAAATGTGTTTTTAAGATGAGTGCAAAATGTGACAAATTACTAACAAAGCTTTTTTGGAGGTTTTTATGACTGGTGATAGTCGAATGAGACACTCGTCTGATTTCTTGAATTTCTGTAGATTAAACTCCTCCATCTCTTCCTCTGATGTCAACAACACAAAGGCCAAAGCAGACCACTGGGCAGGAGAAAGATCAGCAGATGACAGACTTCCTTTGTTAAGGTGAGTCTGAATCTCTTTCACCAGAGTTTGGTCGTTCAGTTCATTCAGACAGTAGAACAGATTGATGGATCTCTCTGGAGACAGATTAGCTTCTAATTTCTGCTTGATGTACTGAACTATTTCCTTTTTGCGTGTGTACATTTGTGTCAGAGTCTTAGGAGTGTCTTCAGTGTTATATATTTGCAGTGTTTTGGAGGCGTCATCAGCCTGACTGTTTTTCAGATCTTTATATCTTTTTTCCTCCAAAATCTTCTGGAGAACAGTGGCTGAAATCCAGCAGAAGACTGGGATGTGGCACATGATAAAGAGACTCTTTGATTGTTTAACATGATCAATGATTTCTTTGGCCTGATTCTCATCCGTGAATCTTTTTCTGAAGTACTCCTCCTTTTGTGCATGAATCTCTTTTTGAAGTACTCCTCCTTTTGTGCATCATTGAACCCTCTGACCTCTGTTACCCGGTCGATACAGTCAGGAGGAATCTTACTGGCAGCTGCTGGTCTGGTGGTGATCCAGATCTGCGCAGAAGGAAGCAGATTTCCCTTGATGAGGTTAGTTAGAAGAACATCCAGAGAGGCTGGTGACGAGACATCACGCCATGTCTCATTTTCCTTAAAGTTTAGAGAAAGACGGCATTCATCCAATCCATCAAGGATGAACAGGACATTAAATTGATCATTTCTTGTAAGGTTCAGTCCTTTTGTCTCTGGGAAAAACTGACTTACAAGACTCATCAAACTTTGTTTTTCTTTCTCCTTTAAGTTCATCTCTCGGAAAGGAAGAGGAAATATGAAGCTGATATCCTGATTTTCTTTTTCTTCAGCCCAATCCAGAATAAACTTTTGCACAGAGATGGATTTTCCGATGCCAGCAACTCCTTTTGTCAGTACAGTTCTGATCCGCTTGTCTTGTTCAAGTACTTCAAACAAATTTGTGCATTCAACCTGTATCTCTTGTGTTTCATGACGCCTGGAAGCAACTTCAATCTGTCTTACCTCATGTTCAGTATTGATCTGTTCACTACCACCCTGAGTGATATAGAGATCTGTGTAGATGCTATTCAGAAGTGTAGAGTCACCGTGCTTTGCAATTCCTTCAAACACACACTGATACTTTTTCTTTAGGTTCGATTTAAGTTGTCGTTGATGAATGAAGACCAGCTCATCTGAACAAACACAACAAAAACACTTGATCTTACTGTTCTTTCCTCATTTTATAAGTGAAAAATCAGACAGATGCTCATTAGTCTTTTACCTTTTAGAGTGTCTGCAAGTTCATCATGCTTCATACTTTTTAGGAAGTAAAGTGTGATATCAAGAGCTGCTTCTTTGATTTCACACATGTCCTCTTTAAAATCCTGCACAAAGTATTGTGTGTTCTCTTTTTTAAATATTTTCTTAAACCTTTCCAACTCATTCTTCAGAAATATAATTATTTTGTTCTCAAGATCCTAAAACCAAAGAATAAAAACAAAGAGGGGTACAACAATAAAATTTTAATTAAATCTTACATCCACATATAAAACATAAGGTTAAACTAGTTAGACAAAAGCAGTAACACAAGTACCAGAATTGAGGTAAGGAAAATGAGCATTTCCGAATTACTGTACACATGACAGTACCCTAAATCATGCATAGCTGTGAAGTTTCTTAATATTGTTTACATATAATTGCAAGTTTAATTAAGAATCTAATGTAATAATTTCTGAAGTAATTTAAGTCAGAAGTGATCCGGTCTATCTTCCAACTGATAGCAGCACAACACATGCAGATATAAAGCTGTAGAGGTTGTTTTATAAGCTATTCCTCTATAAACATGAAAAAATCCAGGTTTTATTCC